GTTGAACCCCTGATGTCACATGGATTATTTTACAGATCTCCTTGCTACCTTTCTGGACCTTGATCGTGGTAATTACATTGCTGTCTATGGGAGGGTCAGAGAGCTCTCATAATTCATCAAAAATATCTTAATTTGTGTTCCGAAGATGAACGGAGGTCTGACGGGTTTAGAACGACATGAGGGTGAGTAATTAATGACAGAATTTTCATTTTTGGGTGAACTATCCCTTTAATTGGCTGATTTTGATTATTATATGCATCATGTTTTATAATATTTTTGAGTAAATTTGAAGCTAGATTTGCAAACAAATTGCTAAAATAAAATATTTAATAAAAATAAAAAAAGTAAATTAATTAAATAAAAATTATATATATACACATATAGTCATAAAACCTTTTATTTAAATATACAAACATTTTATTTAAATGTATAACTCTCAATTATGAGGTCACAAAAGCTTTTATTTAAATATATACATTCCAAAATACTATTCCATGTAGTTTCTCGATTATTATGAGGACATAAAAGCTTTTATTTAAATATAGAAAACTTTTATTTTAATATATTTAAATGAAAAACTATTCTAAATTCTATTAGGCATAAAAACGGCATGCATAGTAATTATTAAGACTGTATAGTTTTAGATAGAAAAAAGCTTATCGCACCACGCGGGCGCTGGCATCATCGACTGCATTAGATTGGCCATCAGCCACTGCTCTCTAGATATCAGCAGAGACCAAAGGAAAACCCATTTTGGTCGACCACTAATCATGACGACTTCAGCAGAAAGCAAAGGAAAAAAAAAAAATCAAAGACTGAGTTCTCCTTTCCAGTTCTGAATCGATTAAATTTCCAAGAAGAGTCAAACAAGATTTTCAAATCATATACAGTGGGTTCCAAAAACCATTGATTCCACATAATCAGTGCCACTCGTTTACTTCATGATCAGTCCTAAAAATTGTGCACAATCTGAAATATTTTTGAAAGTTTATAAAGAAGGTCCTAAACCCTTGTTGATTTCCATGTATAAATGTAAAATAAATAAATAAATACTTTCAATGTGGTCTTAAACCTTTGGACCCCACTTTATGTATTACATACTAGTTCAATAATTCTATATAAATGTAATCAAATTGAATAAGCATTGATTTATTGCATGCAATATTTACTAAAACCTGCACCAAAATAATTTTGAAAACAGGACGTGCATACACATATTCTTAAAATGGCCTAATATCATCCAAACGAATCAGCCTCTTGAATATATTAGTTTATCAATAAAATGAATCAGTGTGTAATAATTTATGACAGTATGTGTCTTCGTTCACCTTTAAGACAAATGTGTTCATGTTGTCTGGCATCTCTAGGCGATTACAGCGTCGAATCTCTTGGATGTCCGAACAGGGTACGGTGAGCTTTGGAGTTTTGTAGTCCTAAAACACAAAGAAAGCAACACATCTTCTTAATATAATCATATAACAGTTACATAATGTCTTTAGAAACATTTGCTTCCATATATTAACTCGAAAACCTCCTTTACCATTTATATTGTGCTTGTATGTGGTATTTTTACTACCCTTGTAAATGCATTAGCCTAAATGTTGTACGGTAGCAAATGTCTTCTCTTGAAAAAGTTGCTCTTCTCTATTTATCTTTGTAAAAGCTACTAAACTTAGAGCAGATTTCCACAACAGCAACTCTGACACGGCATTATAAGAATTATTACTCAGGAACTGAACACTATTGCTGCTTATAATGTTCTCATTTGTGAGATAAAAGTGTCTGCAAAATAAATGCAAATGTAAAATTTTACACTGAGAAATAAACTCTGAATTGTATGGAAGCTCGTTCCTGCCAGACTCCATTAAAAGAGGCAACTCAGAGAAAAGTAAAAATTGCAAAAAAAAAATAAAACTTTTTTCCTTGCAAAAAAGGTCAGAACTGCAAGATAAAAGTCAGAATTCTCACAATTCTGACTTTTTCCTCAGAATTCTGAGTTTACATCATGCAATTCTGTTTTTCTTTTCTTAGAATTCTGAGTTTACATCTCTCAGTTCTGTTTTTTTTTTTTTTTGCTCCTATGGAATAAGCTTGTTTCGGCCACAGGATAAAAGAATACATTTAGCTAATTGTGATTATCTCACAATTCTGACCTTTTTTTCTCAGAACTGCTACATAAACTTACAATTCTGAGAAAAACAAAAGTCTGAATTGTGAGCTATAAGTTCACATTTGCAAGAAAAATGTCAGAGAGATAAAAAGTTGCAATTGATTTGTTCTCCCATACTGACTCAAAACCAAACAAGTTTCTTTATAAATCAATAAAACATAATGCACCACTCAGACATACAATCTGACAAACAAGGACTATGTCATCGATGATAAAACATAGACTTCTAGTGCATGACACACTCCAGTGTGGGTTTGAGCGGAGAGAGGGAAAACAGAGGGGGATGATTTCCTTGTTCTACTGGGATTAGCTAAGAATGCTCATCTGGAAATTAAGGGAGAATGGAGCTATGACCCGTGATCTGAAACCTTCGACCTATGCCTACACACACATATACACATTCACAAAATACACACGCACACCAAATCTCCTTGGGAAAAAATGAGAGCGGATTCCGGGAAGTTGTGAGAGCTGCAAATTAATCCGGACGCTCTGAGCTGCAGGAATTTCCAGTGTGTCCCGTTAGGTCTGACACATCAAAGATTTGGGAATGAAGAAGCTCTTTCTCTCTCAAACGAAATCTGTCATTTTGAGTGAGTCAGACTGAATTACGGCTTAAAATAACTTCACACGCACAGGCTCATGCCAAATCAACAGTGCTGTAATATTACGATCTTTCCTCTTTGAACTGCAGTCAACTACTACAGAGGAGAGTAGAAAACACCACTGACTCATTCACATCCACGCACACTTCTGCACTAATTCCAGCAGAACAAGAAGTGATTGAAGTATTAAACCACACACATATACGGTAAAACAGATGATTGGTTTCTCTTCTCCATTTCTCTTCGCAAATGCAAGAAATTTGCTATTAAACTTGGAGCAGATTTCCATATAAGCAACTCTGATGTTGAATTATAAGAATTCTAGGAACTAATACTAAAGAAGACTTAGTTTGAGTCTGAGAATCAGCATCAAAGATATTACCAAGACATTACTATAAAATAGCTGGATATTTGATAACTTTTGACATCCATGTTTCTTGTTCAGTTTCAGGAGCAATTCCTATCACACATTATACAATAAAAACAGGTCTGGCTGCATGTAAATATGTTTACGGACAAAACATTTTATACAGCTAGCATGAATATGGTTACATATGAACAATGATTTAAACTAGTACACATACAGTTGCTAATAAAAGATGATTGGTGCATCATTTAAACTGGTGTACATACGGATGAACAAAATATCATTTAAAGTAGTATATAAATAGTAGTATAGCTACAAACTATGGAAGCAGATTAGACTCAATAATAATTCACGCAAAAGACACGATGAACACATGAGTATCCCAATTCACATGCATGAAACCCAATTCACATGCACGAAAAAAAAAATATTCACAAAAAACAATTTTGTGTGAATTTGTGGATTTGTGTGTGTATTTTCGAGACTTTCCTGGCAGCGAACTCCTCCCACGCGAGTCACTCATACTCTTTAGCCAATCAGATTTGAGTCTGTCCATCGACCAATCATAACCTACCTGGATGTTACGTCATCAGCGCGAGACCACAGTTCAAGTCACGGTTCAGCAGAGGTTTGTGCAGTTGATCGTTTGATTTCAGTTAACTAGCCTTGTAAAGGTGTATTGTTTTATCTTTGCATGCTTACTTAAAGGCGTCATATGATGCGATTTCAAGTTTTCCTTTCTCTTTGGAGTGTTACAAGCTGTTCGTGAATACAGTAATTATGTCCCCACTGGATGCAACAAATGCCTCGTTCATAATGGGTTTTAATGTTTTTGTTTCGTCGCTCCGCTTTCGGACAAGGTATCACAATATGGCAAGGGGCGTATCATTTCCGTCTCACGCTTGAGGTATTCGGCCAATCACAATGCACTGGATAGCTGGCCAATCACAGCACACCTCGCTTTTCAGAACGATGAGCTTTGTAAAAATCAACGCGTTTCAGAAAGGCGGGGCATAGAGGAGAAACAATAATGTACAGTATGTGGAAAATAATGTGTTTTTTTAACCTCAAACCGCATAAACACATTGCATTACACCAAATACACCAAATAATGTTCATTTTTAGCAACGTCATATGACCCCTTTAAAACTTGGAAGTAAAATCGGTCGTTTAGACATACTCGTTAACGTGACCAGTGTAAGCCAGTGGCTGCTATGAAAACAGATAGTGTTGCCAAAAAAGTCTTGTGTTAGCCACAATGTCCCGTATATTGGCCAAAATGAAGAAAGAATTCTGCTCATTGCCCTGTTTTTGTTCAGCAACGCTGGGTGGCCAATGTCCAGCCTAGCTCCCACTTAGCGCTGACCCTGCCCTCATCATAGCAGCTTTATATAAAGATGAATAGACCTCACAAGAACTCAGTGTATGAATAACGGTGTGTTTGTACTCACCATTTGTGCAACAGGATGCGGTGTTCAATTAATACACACTAATTGTTTTCCCTTGCATTTTTCAGGATTTAAACACTTTGCACAACATCTGGATGACAGTTACAGACCTCTTCATTCACATTAATCTTTATCTGTTTTTTACCTTTATGTATTCATTTCTTAATGTAATCAACATTCATTTACTTATTTTTTTTATATTATATTACTGTGATTAACCATTGTTAATGTTTAATCTTATATTGAGTTGTGATGTAAAAATCTTTGAGATTACAATACACAAGACGATGTTGGGAAGCAGCAGTTGTATTTGCTTGGTGACAGTTGTGGAATTTATGCTGGTCAGACAAAGACAGACTGATCATAAAAAGTAATGCAAAAAAGATTCTTCAGTAAATTTTATTCAGTTATTTTATCACTTTATCTTATGCTTTCTGCTCTTTTTCTATTTGTATCTCTTGTAAAAGTATAAGAGTTAACAAGCCAAGGTGTTAACTGCTTTCAATATCAGACCAAAATCTGGCACGTCCTGACAGAGTGAGAGAGAGAGAGAGAGAGAGATAGTGAAGACTGGATCTAAAACATTTGATTAATTAACTTTTCACATAATGTATTACACTGATACTTTTATTTATCATTCGGCCATTAAAGTTTACTTTAAAAGAATGCTAAAGACTCTAAATGGGACACTATACCAGCCATTCAGTGTAATTAAAGTTTGAATACCCTTTGACTGAAGAACCTCTAGCACAGCGTCAAACTGGTATCGAGCCAAACTCAGCTGTAGTTGTGCTATGTTTGTATTCCCTCATAATTGTCAATTCATATTTCATGTTACAGGCACATTACAATGAATCATGGTCAGGTCATTTCATGGACATTTCATTCCCAAAGTATTCAGAAAACTTCAATAAACTTTAAACTTTAATAAATCTTATACAGCAACTGTAACAACCGACTTGTTTTGAATGTTTTCATTCTGACATAAAACCAGAACAATAAGAACATTTAACAATGCATAACAAATCTTTACGCCTTAACACATACAAAGTCATAGGGTTCTATTCTAAAATAAATGTAGTAATAATAATGCATGACTTAAAAAAAAATCTATTGAAACTGCAGCATAAACAAACTTTTTTTTTTGGTTTCCAATGTGTGCATGTTATCACATACATCATCATCAGTTGAATGCGTGCCATCGCAGGACTTGACACACAAGACAAGCTCTGCTGTGACAGCTCTTTTATGTCCTCAATAAACAAAAACACAAAACACTGCTTGAAAAATATCCAAAAACTATATTTTCATAATCTTCTATTTATTTACGACATGTCCCATCATTCAAAACCTCATTTTATGCTTTACATTGAGTTTATGAATCTAATATCTTAATGTGGTATGGCATCCACGTGAATAATGATTATTCATTAAATAAACATGAGAACCGATCAATATGAAATCATAATACACTCTGGACTAAACAGCAGCCGCTGGCTTACACTGGTCACGTTAACGAGTATGTCTAAAAGACCGATTTTACTTCCAAGTTTTAAGTAAGCATGCAAAGATGAAACAATACACTTTTACAAGGCTAGTTAACTGAAATGAAATGAGGAACAATAACGCGCATCATACGCCCACAGCGGGTTATGATTGGTCGATGGACAGGCTCAAATCTGATTGGCTAAATAGTACGCGTGTCCCGCGTGGGAGGAGTTCGCTGCCAGGAAAGTCTCGAAAATACACACACAAATCCAAGGCTATTCACACATTCACAGTCCATGATGAACTTGTGAATTTGAAACATTTAAAATTTTTGTACACAGTTGTACATCTGTGA